ATTGTACCTTAGCTTATTTTCGTTAACGTGTCAAATATAGTATCAAATACAATTTTATATTTTACATTTAATATTTTAGAAGGAAAATAGATAGGAAAAAATGTATAGTGGTGGGCGGCTTCTAACAGAAGGGTTATGCTAAAATTAATGAAATACCAACTCCGTCCTCCGACTCCGTCCGCGTGAAATTTAAAAAAAAGTACAGCCTATGTGACTCACAGATAATACCTTTCTAACGGTGAAAGAATTTTTTAAACCGGCCCAGTAGTTTTGAGCCCATACATTACAAACAAACAAACAAAGTTTTCCTCTTTATAATATTAGTATCGATAGAAATAGCAGATACGAAGAGCTTATTTCAAGAATAAAAGCAACAAAATAGGGATGCGATTTAAAATTAGAAATATAAAATTCTTCAACTTAATTATTTCTAATGAAATCAGTTTTAAATGCTTTCATTAACTCATTTTAACTTATAGAGTTAATAACGACGGTCACGAAGGTAAATCACTGTAAGGTATAGTTGTTATCGCGATTCACATTTATATGTAGCGATTAGCTATGCAAATGCCTTGATTGTGCATTGTGGAGCGCTAAACACTGCAGCGTGCGTTGTACTGGACGCGGTGTAAGTGGAGGAATTGAACAAAATAGCCCTGAAAGCAATTGCTATTAGACATTTAACATATAACAAAACATCTAGGGTATAAAAGTGAATTTGAAATTAAATTTTACATGTGTTTTAGTAGACATTTTGGTTTAGATTTATTGGTAAACACTAAGATTGGAAATATTTCTTTATTTTCTATCTAAACTTTGATGTATATGTACTTAATATCTTGGTTACAACACGGTAAATATAATCAGCAATTAAACGCAATAATATAACGAAATATCGAACATCAAAAATATGAAAGCACCAAATGAAGTTGTTATTAAAACTCCAAAAATTAACAAAGTACCTAAAGAAAATCGACTTTACAGCGAATAACGTATTATTAAAGAGAATTAAAAAAATCGTATGGAAATTCATTTCGTATATAATTAAATAGAATACGTGTTCTACACGTGGCGAAAGTCAATAAGTAGATATTAGTGGCATTTGCCTAATTCAATTGGCAATAGGCGAGTTCCCACACGCCGAATGCCACCCCAGCTCATTACGCGCCCTGAATTTTCCCAGCGATTAACATGGCGGTCTACTGTCGTAATAATTACAGGTGTGACCGCAGCACGCACCACTTCAATCACGTCACATGTGGCACGTTTGAACTATCTGTCACTTTTTATGTAAGAAGCTTCTTTAATCATATTAATATCATAAATGCGTTTAGATGGATAGAGGATTGGTAGAGTTTGTAGCCTAAACTATTAAACGGATCTCGATGAAATTTGGTAGAACATATAGGATACTTACTTTTTTTTATTCTACGCGTAAGGAGTCGCAGTCAAAAGCTAGTCTATGCATGATGAGCATAATAATGAGCTAAAATGTAAAACTTCTAATGAAGGCAACTTTATTTTATTGACTGGAGTCTCGTCTGTTACGGTAAGTTGAAATTCTGTGGCACTTTCGCACACACATTCGTACATCATATATCAAGAAGTTTTAGTTAATTTTATTTCATCACTTTAAAGTACAAATTGTAAACAAAGAGGCACTAATGTTATCACTACTATGTTTGCACATGATTAAAATAACTGCAGGCTGCATTAGTAACTTGTTTATAACGTTTGCTGCACGAAATAATTGTAGTTGGAAGCCTTTGCATAGCAGTTGTAAATAAGAAACTATGTTAGAAAATAGCATCGTTTCATAATAATGGTTATTATTCAAAGTCACGTTCATTATTTCGATTCAAGTGAGCATAATTGAAAAACTTTTCCATCGATATCGTCACCCAACAGCCGAAAATTACGCTCTTACTCACATTACGGCCGCTCACAGATTCCTATCGACTTTAATCCATCGGTTATTACTGTTTGAACTTTTAATAATGATTCCGACGTGACTTCGGTGTAATTGCGTCCAGTTCATGCCGTAATTACACCGAAGTGTAATTTTAAAACTTACAAAGTGATTACATTGTAGGAACGAAAATGTTTTACGTTTATATTTATTCGACCGACATAAAAGTATATAAGGCGATCGAATGATTATTATTGTAGTCGATAATAACGGTAAGTGGAGCATTATGTACTCGCGAATGATGCAATCGACAATTATAGAAATTAAACAAAGAGCGCGTCGGTTAGCGAAACAGGCTTGAAGAGTCAGGAGGGGTACTCGAACTCGAATGCGGTAGGAGTGTTTTAACTTTGGCTAAAGAGCAACACTTTCCCAGCGCCCGAGTGCCCTTCAAAACGCTACTTTCTGCATTTAGACAAATGAACAGCGCTGCACCCTCGCCGCCTCCTCGCCCCACCCTCCGCCCCGCGTACACCACGCACAACGATGTACAAAAATACTAAAAGTGAACATCATTTAAAAACATTTTAACTGTTTCAAAATTGAAATTTACTGGTAATATATTTAATCTTGCATTTCAAAACACATTTTATCTGTTTGCTGTATCTCTGCACAAACCTTACGTTTGATTACTTACAACAAGATAATTCAGGCAAAAGCTTATTTCGGGTAGCTGCGTCGCTTTAGTTCGTTTTAAAGTAAATAAAAACTAATAAGTACAGACGAAATATAGTAAATCATGACAATAACATACTCGTACATTAACTAAACGTGCAAAAATATTAATTCAATAAACAATGCATGATTAAAAAGGAAATGACGCATCTAGATGTTTGTGACTCCATGTAAAAGACAATAAAAGTTCCGCAGTACAATAGCGGAACTCGTAGGACACAATAAATCAATTGGAGTGGGTGGTTGACTTTTCACTCAAATGTGTGGTTAATTGTAACCGAAAATGACTGTTGATCGCGCCGCACTTAATTTGAGTGGTGCTTTGGCGTATTTGTAGGGGTTACATTTTGTGTGGCGCTGGCGCGGGGTGGAAAGTAAGTAATGGTGCAGTTAGCTTTGTCATTATTTTGTATTTATTTTTACTTTGTAAGTATGCTGGTAATGTTGTTTAATCGTTTTAATGTTTGTTATTATATCACTCAAAGATATGGTTTCCCATTTAATGATTACATAATTATTATATGGAGTTAATGTAAACGTGTTAACTAGATTAGATTCTATAGAAATATATATTATATTAACTAGTTGTGTTATATTATTTCTTCTGTTATTCTAATAAAAGAAATGAATTAAGATACTAATTTAAGTAAAAATGTAAACTCTCTGATAAAAGGTCTTAATTATTTCGCTTTATAATTGATTTTTAAAAAATCATTGCAAAAACAAAATAATATCACATGGATAGTCGTCAATTTAGCGTCAAGTGGAATTTTACCTAATAATGATTTCATTTTTATGTATTTTGTTATATTTTTCTGTAGTTACAACCGTCGTAACAATGCTATACAAAATGTTTAGTACGATATCATCGGTCGCGGAATGGCATCGTACACTGGTTCCCCTTGCGGCACCCTCGCCTGCGCCACGTCCGCGGGCGGTAGACCACTAAAAATATAATTACACTATAATTGACCATTTACGTCATTTGACTTTGTAGACTATAATTGCGTTCATAAATTTTGATATTTTGCGACCAGATTAATTTGGAAACGGAAGTTATATTGAAATATTTGGAGAAATTTTAACGTAACGAATGTAATGTAGTTGAGGCGATAAATAAAAAAATATTAATAAATTTAACATTGGTAGAGCCCACTTTAACACACAGAAGACAGGCGTGAAGTGGAAGCAGTTCTGCGTTTCGTCTGATGAGTGTGGTGTCGGAGGCCTAATTTTATTTTCTTTCCCTTTCCACCTTTTTCTTAAGTGGAAAGAATGGGAAGGAAAAGTGGATTTGATGGCGGAAAAGATGCATAGGAAGGGGAAATTTATGTGAGTCTCCTCCTCCGTCAATAAAGGGAAGGCAACGCATCTGAAATTGCGGATGTTTATGGGCGACGGTCGCTTTTTTCGTTTGCCACCTTATGTTATAAAAAAATAATTAGAATGGAGACAACGATAGCGTAAGAGGTAGAGGTAAATCCGATCACGCGGTGATAACATTTATTTATCATTTTAGAAATATTCGCCAATTTTAACAATATTTCCAGTTTAAAGTTCGTCAGGCCAGTAGGCGTCGATCATCTTCTTGATGCGATCATCGAGGTCAGCTGTGGGAGGCTGCTTGCCCAGCAGGAACACGAACTTCTCGTGGCAGTCCATCATCGCCAGGTATTGACCCTCCACCAGCTTGAGCCGCATCGGGTAGCGGTGGAACTGAGCTAGGTCTAGTTTTGCTGAAAATTTGTGAAAATTACATCAATTTCATATTTATTCCTCAACACAGTGTCGTTGTTAGGGTAGAGCGTGATTGAGAATCCGCCCAGGGCTCCTGACAGATAGGGGCGCCCATGGATCTGGAAATTACTCCCAGCACTGTTAACAACCTCCCCACTAGTCATGGTGAGAAAGAAGGTCGCCTTAAAATTGGCCCAAGTCTAGAAGACCTAGAATTTGCACAATTTTAAGGCATCATTATTATAATAATTCCAATTTACGACCTTAGTTTATACGCTACTAAGCTCCTTTGATTAGATAGGTAAAAGTTTAGTCATATCTTGGTATCAAATCATCTTTACCTTTGATGGAATTATTCTCGCTGAAGCTACTAATGAAAATATAAGAGTAAGATGTTGAAAAAAAAATTAAGCACATGTTTAGATAAATGTAAGAAATACGTTGAGAAAATAACTAAATTTAATTAAGAGAAATCTTGTTCACTTTACAGGCAATATTGTTAATGGTGCGGACTTACTCTTTGGACAATACAACGTGGAAACAAATGAAAAGTTTGAGATTTCAAAATAACCGTTTCACAATTTAATGGACCGATATCATCGTGAGTTCGTTGTGAAACCAGGGCGCGGTATCTATTTGATTTATTAGGTGAATAATTTTTATGTACATAATGTGGGTAAAGCAGTATCGTACTAAGTGCCGTCGTCCATCTCTAGAAGTAACGTTATATGTTGGAGATTAATCAATGAACACCGTTTTTTGTAATAACCTCACAATGATCGCTCCATTGAGTTTAAACAATGCATTCGATTTATCTAATTTGCTGAAAAATAGAAAATTCAACCGTGTTCATGTTAAGAATGTTATTATTGCGTCTGCTAGTTTTATGAGTTATGTCGAATGCATTTTAGAAATCTGCAATGTCCGCGACATTTTATATAACCGTTATTTTTTAAATATACATTTTTTTATTGATTGTTTTACTTATATTATTGATTTTAATTTTTATGTGTTATATGAATAACGCTTTTTTTTTGTGAGTCGTTTCGTAGAAAAATTGTTTTATACAAAAGTATGTTAATTATCCATTATATTTTAAAAAATTGATCATAATCGGAATGTCTGTTGTGAAAATTTCTTTCAGATTTAAGAAAGTCGAACTTATGAAAGAAACGTACTTGCATTTAATAAATTTGAGAATCAAAATTGGGATAAAAATAGCATACACTTTTTCAACTTATTATTAACAATACTTTTTTTTTAAATTGATACAAAGTAACTACGTACCAGTAGGAGAAGGCATTTGTAGTGTTCTATACGAGCCGTCGCCTTCTAGTTTCTCCAAATAATAGTCTCTGGTTTTGTTAGATTTTACGCTGGAGCAAGGAATCTGCATCTTTATTAGTAGTTTATCCCAATTCATATTCTCTACGTACTGTCCAATGCGTTCTTGAAGGTCTTTGTTTTCCTTAAACAATAATATTGTAATGGTTTTTAAGGGTTTTAATATTCTTAGAATATCCATGCTTAGAAATTAAACAATGTTAACAAGTGTTTGCGTATCAATTAATTTGCCTTGAAATAGAATTTTGTATTTCAGATATGCGTCTCAAAAATAATGATAAATACCTGTTCCCCGACATTTGTAAACTCGACGCAGTGCGATTCGCCAGAACCTTTAGTTTTTTCAGTTTTAAAATGCAGCAAGTGCCAGACTCCGATCGCCTGAGAATCTTTGAACGTAACGTTCTTGGAGAACTCTTGGCAGTTCGGCTGCTTATCGTTAGATTTAGCTGCGACTATGTATAGATATACGATGGCTGGAATAAAAAAAATAAAAAAATCCTTTTTTTTAAAACATGAATGCTAACAAAACATGCAAATTAAGTTTAGAAATGTCAAAGATTATAAGAAAAATTATAAGTGTTGAATGTTAGAATTATTGTACCTAAAATTGATAGCCGTAGAATGTGAGCCATTTTGAGATATCCAGTGGCCGAGTCACGCTACACGAACCGCGGTAATGAACTGAATGACTTGATTAGGTGTATCAAAAGGATAACAGCATTAACAACTCAAATTGTGAGCACTTAACCCTTGGACACGGCAATTTTATTTAGAGAAACGTATTTTTTCCATTCATATCGTTTTGTTGAAAACAAAACAACTCGAGATGAAAAAGTTTCAACATTAACGATTGTAAAACAGAACAAAAAAAATCGAGTAACTTTAGAGGTTACTTGATGATTGCTGTGCTACCTAAATAGCGTATGTTCATTTCGTCTCATTTGAATATAAAGGGCTGGGCTTGAACATGCAATCTGATTCTAAAGAGAGTGGGGGAGGGCCAGGGAAGGTTATAATTGAAGGTGGGAGAAACGATGCTGTAATGGCCGAAACTTAACATCTTAAAATCTTCGTAGAAACACATTTAATCGCTTAAGTTAAAGGTGAATTTACATTTTACATAAGTTTAGTTTTATTTACACAATGAAACAATTAAAAAGTGGAATTTTTATAAAGGAAAATGTTAAAAGGTTGAAGCTTTCTTTTATGAAGGATTCTACTTAAGAAGGATATAAAAGAAAGTCAATCGTGAGGCTGTCAAAGTAAAAAAAAAAACACATATCTAATATATGAATCGGTTCTTAAAAAGTACTTATTCCAATTTAAATACTAGCTGCATTACAGAAGAATTCTACGGCCGTCGGAAACTACAAACATTTCTGGAGCCATGTCAAGTGATTTGTAGTTATTTGCTTTAATTGCAGCATTTATCAAAGTGGTAAATGAGCGAGTAGTAATTATTTAAATGAGTAATTTAAAGAAAATAAAGTCACCAATGGGACAAGACCTAAAAATTCCTGTTGCAGTTCAAGGCCACGTACAAATTCATGTTAAATCACGGAAAGAGTCAAAAATTAAATCTAATTTAAAATAAAGATAGATTCCAGAATTTTAAAATGTGGGTTTGGTAGTGTTAAACTATAATTATAATTCAATGTTTATTTTTTAATAGCTTTCGCCCGCGACTCCGTCAGCGTGGAATTAAAAAAAAACTAAGTATGTGTTCTTCCAGACCATGCTCCATATCTATACCAAATTTCATCGAGATTCGTTCAGCCGTTTAGGCTACAAACTCTAACATACATCCATCTAAACTTTCGTATTTATAATATTAGTAAGATTAGAAAAACTGAGATAAAAACTGTCTCATCCATAATATTTATTTCAGTACTCTTAGATGCGTAGGAGTTGGCGAGGAGCGCACGTCGTAAACAGAATAAACTGTCGCATCCTGTCCCCTTGTCCTTAATGAATTGCCGGTTAGTCTTGTGATGGCTACTCAATCCACGCTAATTGAATCATTAGCAGATTTGTACTATGATTGTTTAAAACAGAGGTTTTCAACCTTTGGATTAAATTCGGAGATTCTGAAAAGAATGAAAATGCTAGGCGCGAGTTCTCTGATAATTTCGATTTGTTTATTTTCTTTCGACAATACCATTTGATTACAAAGATAATTGTAGTTTTTGCAATATTTGTAAATAGATGTTAAGGATATAAAAAAACACTGCTACATTTTCTTTGTCATTTAAATGTGAATGTTAAACAAAATGCTTGCATTTAGATCTCAAGACTCTTCATGTTTCGTGTTACAATTCGACCGCAAATGTTTTTAGAGACGTCCTGTGTGGTAACCGAGGACTGGGCGCGTGGCTTTTGTTCTTACGTTGAGTTCGCGAATTGTTGTTACTTTTACATAATACAATAAGGAAAAATGTACTTTATTGTTTTCGAGATAAAGTACAAAATAAGTTGCAGGTGTATTGTGACGTGTGGGGTTGCGGTTGCGGCTGCGCACGCGCTTCTTGTATTAACAGTCCGTAATGCCAATCCTTTGTTGTTGGTTACGACGTGGCGACATCTGTCGTTTGTTCGACTTAATTGTTTTATTTGTACTTCTATTACTTGCTGCTTGTATCAGATTACGTCTTTAGACAGTACTATAAAGTTCTCTGTTTAAAAAAAACTATCACGTTTTAATGGTAAGGTTTAAGTCAACAGTTTGTTAAAGTTTTCGATGCATTAAAAAGGTATAGGTAGATGAGGAGCGCTACGTGGCAAGAATACGGTACTAGAATATTAGTAGGACGGCAACTTTGTAACAACTTAACCAGGAGTTGCATTTTACCTCCAAATTGATAAGGAGAAATAGCTCAAGGGCTTACATTTACAGAATAACGGGAAGGTTTAGGTAAAAAGAAACGTACGGGATCCTAGCAGACCATAGAGATGCTAACTTTTTTATTCAGTTATATTCGTTGTTTTCATTTGTTTCATACGATTTCCTACTTTTGTCCTGTTGATGGAAAATATAAGACACAGTTTTCTGTACTATTTTCTTACGTAAAAACAAATACCACAGTAAATTATGTAGCGTACCTAGTGAAGTGTGTACTTTAAGCGTCGTATTACCTAAATGTCATATAGAATGAATCACAGCGATTCGTCTGGAGGTAAATTCCATCGCATTAGTGTCACCTCGAAGGTGAATTTATAAGGCAGGTATGAGACATTGATCAGGCAT